GACCGCAGCCTGGCCCGGGCGGCGGCTCCCGCAAGCACTTCTCCGCGGGGCAGGGCCGAGCTCCCTCGCTTCTTGTCCTAACCCCGGGATTGTGGTTGTCCCTTTTCAGTGTGAAGCAGCGGTGTCTGAACGAGCAGAAAAGGAGACGGCAGCGGGCTACTAAGAAAATCAGTATTTTTATAGGCTCCTTCCTGATCTGTTTTGGCCCCTACATTATCACCAGGTGAGTTGTGCCAGGCTCCTGTGCTGGCAGCTTCCTGGGGCCAAAGGCGCTCTGCCCCTCAGCCTCACCAGCCCTGCCCTGAGCTGGCTCCATCCTCGCTTTCGGGGGTCTGGAAACCCTGGCTTGATGCCCAGGAGATGGGGGTGGGGGGCTGTGCGTGCAAACATGGGGAGCCAAATCGTCCCGGGTTAGTGGATCGCTGGGTCGTTATAGGAGCCAGGCGGAGATTCCCCCACTGGGGCTGGGCTCTGGGAGTTCATCACGTCCCACTGGGAGATGGGAGCCGTTCACCTCCGCCTCGGCTCTTCCCTGATTGCAATGCAAAGATGGAGGCAATGGAGCATCAAGGGCAGAGGGAAGCGGGGGCAGCTTTCCCGAAGTCTCCTGATTTTGCCTCCGAGAGGCTCCTGGGCTGGGAGGGTTGACATCGCTGGTGCAATAAGCGCTGGCCTGATCTCTCACGCACTGACATCAAGAGCAAAGTTTCCCCTGGTTTCAGTAGTGCAGGGCCGAGTCCACAGTCAGATGTGATAGCTATTTAGTCAGTTTAATAGTTAGTATGAACTCGGAAAGTGGGGACGCTCCATCTCTAAATGCTACGATTTTATAAAGAAGCTTATTGGAAAAGCTGGTGTCATTTGGCATGGGGGACCACGAGAGAGGAGCAGTGATTTACATCCAGCTCATTATTTTTATATTGGGTAGAATTAAGTTAGGCTTCTCAAAAGTAACTGGTGATCTGAGGTGCTTCAGATTTAGGTGGGCAAAAGGGGATGGTTTGCAAAAAGTGTGGGGCACTGCCCTCTTCAAATTGGCCCCCTTAAAGATACACAGGCACCAAAATTACAAGCCCGTTGGTTTGTAG